GAGGTTTGTGTGTTCAGATCTTGTTGCAACAGAATCCCAAGCTTCCAAACCAACAATTTGAAAATCTATCATTTTTTTCTTGTATAAAGTTCCTATTGAAAATTGTTGATTTGTGATGCCTTTTGGCTTCACAAAGGGGGAGACCCACAAACCAGTGATCTAGTTGTGAAGATCTATTGAAGACAATCCCAAAATAGCAAACCACCATGATCCCCTTAACCTGTACCTTGTGATCTGTTTGAGATTTGTGTGTTCAGATCTTGTTGCAACAGAATCCCACGCTTCCAAACTAACAAGTTGAAAATCTATCATTCTTTTCGTGTATAAAGTTCCTATTTAAAATTGTTGATGTGTGATGGCTTTTGGCTTCACAAAGGGGGAGACCCACAAAGAGACCAGTGATCTAATTGTGAAGATCTATTGAAGACAATCCCAAAATAGCAAACCACCATGATCCCCTTAACCTGTACCTTGTGGTCTGTTTGAGGTTTGTGTGTTCAGATCTTGTTGCAGCAGAATCCCAAGCTTCCAAACCAACAATTTGAAAATCTATCTTTTTTTTTTCTTGTATAAAGTTTCTATTTAAAATTGTTGATTTGTGATGCCTTTTGGCTTCACAAAGGGGGAGACCCACAACGAGACCAGTGATCTAGCTGTGAAAATCTATTGAAGACAATCCCAAAATAGCAAACCACCATGATCCCCTTAACCTGTACCTTGTGATCTGCTTGAGGTTTGTGTGTTCAGATCTTGTTGCAACAGAATCCCAAGCTTCCAAACCAACAAGTTGAAAATCTATCATTTTTTTCGTGTATAAAGTTCCTATTTAAAATTGTTGATTTGTGATGCCTTTTGGCTTCACAAAGGGGGAGACCCACAAACCAGTGATCTAGTTGTGAAGATCTATTGAAGACAATCCCAAAATAGCAAACCACCATGATCCCCTTAACCTGTACCTTGTGATCTGTTTGAGATTTGTGTGTTCAGATCTTGTTGCAACAGAATCCCACGCTTCCAAACTAACAAGTTGAAAATCTATCATTTTTTTCGTGTATAAAGTTTCTATTTAAAATTGTTGATTTGTGATGCCTTTTGGCTTCACAAAGGGGGAGGGAGACCCACAACGAGACCAGTGATCTAGTTGTGAAAATCTATTGAAGACAATCCCAAAATAGCAAACCACCATGATCCCCTTAACCTGTACCTTGTGATCTGCTTGAGGTTTGTGTGTTCAGATCTTGTTGCAACAGAATCCCAAGCTTCCAAACCAACAATTTGAAAATCTATCATTTTTTTCGTGTATAAAGTTTCTATTTAAAATTGTTGATTTGTGATGCCTTTTGGCTTCACAAAGGGGGAGACCCACAAAGAGACCAGTGATCTAGTTGTGAAGATCTATTGAAAACAATCCCAAAATAGCAAACCACCATGATCCCCTTAACCTGTACCTTGTGATCTGTTTGAGGTTTGTGTGTTCAGATCTTGTTGCAACAGAATCCCAAGCTTCCAAACCAACAATTTGAAAATCTATCATTTTTTTCTTGTATAAAGTTCCTATTGAAAATTGTTGATTTGTGATGCCTTTTGGCTTCACAAAGGGGGAGACCCACAAACCAGTGATCTAGTTGTGAAGATCTATTGAAGACAATCCCAAAATAGCAAACCACCATGATCCCCTTAACCTGTACCCTGTGATCTGTTTGAGATTTGTGTGTTCAGATCTTGTTGCAACAGAATCCCACGCTTCCAAACCAACAAGTTGAACATCTATCATTTTTTTCGTGTATAAAGTTCCTATTTAAAATTGTTGATTTGTGATGCCTTTTGGCTTCACAAAGGGGGAGACCCACAAAGAGACCAGTGATCTAATTGTGAAGATCTATTGAAGACAATCCCAAAATAGCAAACCACCATGATCCCCTTAACCTGTACCTTGTGATCTGCTTGAGGTTTGTGTGTTCAGATCTTGTTGCAACAGAATCCCAAGCTTCCAAACCAACAATTTGGAAATCTATCATTTTTTTCTTGTATAAAGTTTCTATTTAAAATTGTTGATTTGTGATGCCTTTTGGCTTCACAAAGGGGGAGACCCACAACGAGACCAGTGATCTAGTTGTGAAAATCTATTGAAGACAATCCCAAAATAGCAAACCACCATGATCCCCTTAACCTGTACCTTGTGATCTGCTTGAGGTTTGTGTGTTCAGATCTTGTTGCAATAGAATCCGAAACTTCTCAACCCAAAATAGGAAAGACCACTCATTAGCTAACATAGATATTGTATTCTCAAATCAACGATTTGCAGCTGGTACTACTAACATGTATTTTATGTTAGAATCTCTTGTGACACACCAACTGCTCCAAAGCGTTACTAACCTGTACCTTGTCTGGGGAGTGCGGCACATGTCTGAATTCCTTGTCTCACCTTGTTTTCCTTATTTCCTGAAAAGTTGTATCTCGTCAAAACGGCAAGGAACACAAATTGTATTGATTTTTTTGTCAACTCCAAAAAAAATACTCGTTAGATTATGGAAAAGACACGTGTATTAATGTGTGGATAAAGATATATGTATATATTGTGGGATCGTTTTTTCTTACATGTCCACATGCCAACATGCTTCTCATGCAAGTCATGGAGACGCTAACGTGTATTCGGCTGTAATCGTCAAAACAGCAAGAAAAACTAACCTGTACAGCATTTTTTTTTGACCTCCAAAAAAAAGACACGTTAGATTATAGAAGAGTAGTTGTTTTTTTCCTCTTGTATTGGAGCGGGTTCCAGGTCTTGAAACACCTCGCGTTGCCTCACATTGCACAATCTGGAAGGATTGGCCTGGTTTCGGTTGCCAGCGATCCGCCCATGCCGAAATCAGAGGAAGCCAAGTGTGCCACGTGTTTGTTCTGTATATTGCTATGCACAAGGCATTAATTATTAGTGAATACCATTTGTGCATATTTGTGCACACTTTGCCAAACAGTGTCAAGCCATGCCCAACCATGCCCAACCATGCCAAACCCTGATGTTCATTGCTCTGCTTTACATGATATATTTTGTGTGTACTGTGTAACTAGGAAGGTAGCAACATGGATTTGTGCCGCTTGCAGTTCTCTTTGCGCGCATCTTTCATTGCTATGTTGCGACTATGCTATGCACTTGCTGCATGTGGTTCATTCTGCAACCTCACTTTACTAAAGCATGCTATCGCATGCTAAAGCTACAACTGCGAGCCGCATACCAAGCATGTAATAGAGTTGAACAGGTGTATTCTGCAAAGGCTGAGCACATGCAGCTCCTCTCTCACAAACAGCCATATCAAGTAAGCCCTCCATGGACGAACCATGAGGCTCCCCGCCAATCCATCAGTCAAGAACAAGACATGGGTTGTGCTTCTTCAGTGTTCCATGCATGACTCCATGGCTTGGTTCCTTGAAAGCTGCTTGGTCGGCACTTCTCGTTTTGCAGGCATCGAATTTTTGAGTCATCAACCGTGCACCTGTAGAAACCTTGCTGGAGTGAGAGAACTTTGCCTGAAACACACAATTCATCAAAATGTATCAGAAGATACAGTATCAAAGTAAGGTCGGAAATTGAAAGTGCATCTCACCTGCATGGCACCTCAGCACAAAAGATTGCGAAAGAAACTAATTTGGATCATTTTTGCAACCAGTTCTCGGATGCACAATGACCGGTCAAGCGGGACTGTATAGTATGGAGAAGCATGATAATCGAGGGGCTGCACGAGCCAATCTTCTAGTGGCAGCCAGCCATGATTTTTTTGGCCTCGTGTGCAAATCATACATCTCATGCACCAAAGCTCTTGAATTACGAAGTTTCGACTGCTCCAAGCTGCAGTAGCTGCTTGGAAGCAAGGCTGCACGGCCATCATTGCAGGCTCCGAAGCATAGGCAGCATACATTTTTCTTCTGAGATTTCTGAGGTCTGCATGAAGATCATCAAGCTTGCCCATGGGTCAGACTCTAAGATTGATGATGTTTCTGGGAAATTCGATGGTCGTGCAAGTCTTTTACATTTTAGTTTTGAAAAAAACGGTGGCAACCTGAGGGCTCACCTCTAAAATGTCATCAGCATCAGCAACCACCACCTCTCACCTGGTAGGCCATGCGACAAATCTCTGGTCATTTTTACGGTGCTCCGGCTGCATTCATCCACCTTTTTTCAGTGATTTCATCAGCGTTTGACTATGTGCAGAACTACGAGATTATTCGGGAAATCATTCCCCATACCATACCATACTTCAGATTGCACTGCATATATCTGCATATCTCTATTTGATTCTATTTGTTTGTGTGTGCTTGTGGATAGACATTGGACGTTTTTTTTGGCAAGTTTTGAATGATCTACATCCCGTTTCCTCCAGTTCCCCCCGGGCACGTTGGCATTGGAGACGACGTCCAAATGTGATCTCTCTAGCGGACCTCGGAGTCCTGGGTCAGGTGGCAACTTGACTTCTACAGAAACAAGACCACGTGACATACTCCCCTGGAACCCAAATAACCTCCATTTTGCATGGCTAGACCCCCATTAGACCCCCATTTTATGGGTCAGAAGGGTCATTCAGGTTCCAGGACATCATATTTTGATTTCAGATCTAGAAAATATCCCATGGCAAAAGTGGATCTCCGATTGGTCCTATCCAGCATGGAAGGGATGCTATTTCCAATAGGAAAACCGTGTCCCGGAGCAACCCATTCTTGGGGTTCCATAATGTCATATTGGTTTTCGGGAATTTTCAGGCTACATCAGGCTACATCAATACCTCATAGCAGCCATAGCATCTGGATGCATCTGGCATCAGCCTCTCCTCCAGTTTGTGAGACCGGCCCAAGATCTCGTTTGAAATCGCGCTTCGTGTTGGAGGTATCCGGCACACCCAAATGGGGACCTCTCAACTTGGCTGGGATGAGTTTCCATAAGTTTCTATGAGTTTGTGGCAAAGCCGAAGTATCCAAAAGAAAGAAATGGATGATAGATATACAGTATCTATAGCATATATAGCCAATGTGCACAAAGATTGAACTAACTTTGAGGAAGATGCACTTGAGGTGTGAGAAGTTTGAGGCAGGGAGTGTGACTATATCTCTGTTATTGGCCAAGCAATGTTGACTTGAGTGTGATGGATTCTGTAGCCCAACAGTTCAGCTTTGGGTCCACCCAGCCACCAAGGTTAGTGAAATGAACCAGGTCCTATCAACCATACATTAATTAATATTACTTATATATATATACTGCAATTCATCATATAGACATGCGATGCATGCATGTCCGATACACGGAAACAGTATACATTGTGCATGTACGGCATATATATTTATATTATACATGCATATACTGTGTAGGATATTGAAGGATTTCATGGCCATGGAACGTGGAATCTCAAACTCCAATGCAGACCTTCCTGATCCTGGCCAATCTTCACGTCAACTTGCCTGCCTGGGAATTCAGGCACGGATCGCTGGATGGCACCACCTGCAGAATAGCCAAAAAATCGCCAAAAGTAGATGTCTCCATGCCTTCCCAAATCCTGAAAATCCGAAATTGCAGTGTGAAACACACTCGGCAGCCAACTGAGGATGGCACCCAAGGCATGAAGGCAGTTGACCACAGACATCAAGTTCTTCCTGAGCTGGGTTCATCCAGGGTCAATGATCAAAGGATTGAACATTGCCATTGCCTTCAGGGCCTTGTACCAGTATGGGTAACTAACTGCACTCTCATGTCTTCGAACACACCTAACTGCGTATTAAAAGAAACGGAGGAGCCTGTTGGACTTTTATTTCATACTGTATCATTCCACTTGATATCCATTCCACTTCATGCCCCTCGAGGTTTCCAAGACCTGAGTTCTTCAAGCTGTGCTTGAGGGCTTTGCTCTTCGTACAAGTCATCTGTGGAGAAGAGCGCATACTCCTAAACACTGGTTCAGCATGACAAAATATGTTTAATATAAATATTTCATACTATTTTGAACGTACAACAGTCTCTCAAAAAGGCATTTTCGGATTGGAAAATCTGGTCTTTCTCGAACAGTTTGATCCAAGCTTCAAAACAGGCTACTGATCAAATTTAAAATATTCATACCTAGACCTTCCAAAGTTCAATAATTTCTGTACTTTTGGGCTTTTGGCCGCAAATGACCGCAAAAAACCGCAAATGCCGCAAATAGTTCAAATTGGACCAATCGTTCAGAAACACACTAGAACAACATGAAATTGCAAGAATGAAGCTGACTTGACGTATCTTGGCATGCTAGATGGGAGTTTCTGCATGTTGACAAACAAAGTGGACCTGCTTAGCAGACGGAAAGAAAAACAAATCTACCGGTTGGTGAAGATTGGTGAAGAATATGACAAAATAATTAAGTTGCTCAAAGAAGGCTTTGGTGCCACGCTAAAAGCAATCTTTGCTGGATGGGAGACACCAGACCGCTATAGCCATTGAATTGAAACAGCCTGTTTTTGTCTAATTTGTAAAAAAAAACAGAACGCCCATGTTTTTTTTGAAGAAATGCCTGCAGGAAGTTCCAAAACTGCTCTGAATTCAATAAAAATGTCGACAGTTTTCCCGCAAAAAGTACGCAAATTTCCCGCAAAAATACGCAAATATCCGCAAAAGTACGCAAATCGGGATTTCTTAACTGCTGCGGTTCATGCATGTGACAAATCGCATCAAATCGCAGCTTGTTGGAATGAAAACTGTTATTTCTGCAAACTAAGCATGCTTCAAACTAAGTATTTTCAAATATAGCTTAGTATTCCTGCATGTTTGAGGCTTTGAATCTTTGCGGGCTCCAATCACCAACACAAACTCTGCAAATTTAGGAAAGCATGGACATTATCACCAGCAGTTCCAATCGGTACATTATGAGGGACCCATTGCGGCAAGATATTTTAACCACCCGTGCCATATCTAAGGTGGCAGTCAGAACTGCTGTAAAGAGTTCACTTTTTGTTGAAACCGTTTACATTTAAGATTAAACGTTTCAACCGGCCCAAAAATGCAGAAATCCCAATCGTACAGAATTTTCTGTACTTTGGAAGGTCCAGGTACATATTATATTCTACATACCCTCGCACTTGCAAGCTACGGTAGATTTCATAGTATACTCCCAAATCCGTCCTGTACTCCAAATGAACGACATGCCCGAAGAAAATTGCAAATGTTCTCTCCTTAGCACACGCGCCGCTGTAGGCTGCGTTCAGCCGGTCACTGAAATTTCTCTCCGCAGAACTTCTGAGGCCACAGCGTTCTTTGAAGGGCATCCCTGGTGCGTTCACCTCGGCAAGGCAGCATGAATAATGAATAAAGATGAATAAAGCAGCTTCAAGCCATCGCGATGAAACCAACTTGGTGCACATTCAACTACGTGAGCTGACTCAATGTGACTAATCACCAAGGCCAAGATGGTTATACGGTATACGAATCAATGAATAAAGACCACAGTATCCATGCGAACCTGCATAAATAGACAAATGATATTGTATACGTATGAATGAGAATAACTAACGAATGTTAACGATAATTAATGTATTTAATGTCGTGAAAACATATTTTCTGAAAGCCTGACGGCAAAAGCGATGGCCTTGCCGATGCTGCGGGGTCGAATGCAGTTGATGAGATCGCACAGGATTGCGCCTGAGCCTTGGATCAAGGATCAAGGCATTGCCAGTTTCCCATGGGAAGGGATGCTTTGGAATCCTTTGGAACCCATCAAATGTCTAAAAATGTCTAAAAATGTCTATAAAAGAGTCTAAAAGTACATGTTGCATCATGTTGCTATGCTGCCACTTCATGTCACTTCCTGGTCGATTTTACTCCAGCTCAGCCGTCGTGGTGTATGGAATGTGTATGGTACAGTGTATGGATCTGGGTGAAACAACCTGAAAGTCTTCCAAGGATCTAAGTAGTGTACTGTAAGAGTGCAGGCAAACCCAAGCGTGCTAATATATGTGCTAATATGAGCCGCTTATTCTGAAAAAAAGGTGAGTTTGAGAGCTGACGCATAGTGCTTGCCTGCTTCCTGCTGACGTTTGGCATCAGGAGTGGAAAGTGACCTAGTCTCTCAGAACTTTCAGCGTCCAAACATTCCTCATACTCCTCCAAAGATGCGCGCCCAAAAGCCTTTCTTCTTTGCCATGTCGCCAACGTGCTGTTAGTAATCCACCGTTTCACCGCATTTGGGCAATTCAGTGTTCATCACATTCAGGAGCGCCTCCAAGTTTCCAAAGACTCTATCTGCTGTGCGGTCGAGGCCCCCAATCTTCTCCACAGCTGAATCAAGTTCTTCACCTCCCAAGGCCAGCGACAGCTTTGGCACCAGCGACTTGGCAAAGAAGGCCATCCCTTCATCCAGCACTGCCCTCAAGTCCTTGGAGATTTCCACCGCCTGCTGGGTTTTGGAGTCCATGATCTCCACGGCCTCACGGACCTTGGTCGAAGCGGAATTCTCGACATTGCGGCCCATTTCCTCCGCGGCATCCGCAAGCTGCGTGAAGCCTTCGATGGCGACATCCTCCCATTCGTCCAAGATTTCACGGACCTCCGTCGTCTGACCCGCGGTTGACAAGATTGTCCTTACGGCTGCAACAGCTCTTTGGACATTGCCCAGAGCGGCTTTGTAGCAGGGAATCAAGTCCTCCACGGTGTCACTGACGAGTTTTTGTAGCTTGGTGAGGTTCTGAGCCACGGAGTCTACCATCTTGGCACTTGCATAGAACTCGTGCACAGAAGCGTTGAACTTTTCTGTGGCCGACTTAAGTTGAAAGTCCGCCGTGTCCAAAGCATCTGTCAATTGATCTGTCACCTGTCCCATGCCTAGCTTGGCAGTCTCCTGGGCATCTTCCAGCGTTTGGCCCACGAAGTGCACGTTCGTGTGCAGACCTGGAATGAACGCCTGCCCGTCATGAAATCCAACTTGCAAGAGCTGCACTTCGTCCTCAGAAATGCAGTTGTCAAAACACTCCTCAGAAGCAACAATGAACACCAAGCACAATTTCAGAGCCTTCTTCATATAATGAGCAGGACTCTACTGGCGAAACTCCTCACATCTCATGAAATAATTCGATAGCTTGAGCCTAAACGTTACAGCAAAAGAGTCAAGAAATCGATATGATGAACATCTGTAATTACAAAAAGCCTCCTGAAATGTCCAGAGTCCAGAGACTGATTCTCAATCACATCTCTGAAAATTCAGAAAATGATATCAACAAATATCAAGAATGAATATTAATTGAATATTAATGAATAATAAGTAAATACCATATGTTGTCATTGCAATGACCGGCGCCGAAATCCGCTGATCCTGGGCTTTGCTGGCGGAGAGTCGTGCCAAAGTCAACTTGAAAATTGTGGCCAGTCACAGCCTGGCCAAGGGCAATTCAAGTGGAGCTTTGCACATTCAAAGACGTATTCAAAATGGTGGGCTGCTATAGACATACCAGTGTATAATAGCATAATATATATATATATATGTAACGGTATATTATATAGTATACTTACTATAGTATATGCATGGTAGTTTTGAATAGTGTATGCATGACTAACAAATACTTGATTATACATTCATATTACTATACTGATTGCTGATGCGATACTGGTAGGATTGACACTGCAAATAAGCTTCTTGCGACCTATCTGTCACATGCGCCAGCGGCCTGAACCCAGTTCGCAGCAGCTTCTTCGGCAGCGTGACTGTATTTCGCTGCAGCCTGGAACTACGCAGATTCGTGGAGCTGGCTACTCTTGATCACTGCACCTGGGTTGAGGTCAGAAGAGTCCGATAGTAATAGATAGTAATAGTATATTATTTAAAAAAAAACAATATATTGTAATATATTGCAATAGTATGTAATCAATAGCATGGAATAGTATTGTACCAGTTTCGCATACTTTTCCAATCTTTTCTAGCGGTGCACAGCGGCAACCAGAGCTTGCATCAGACTGTCATGATGGGCCTTCGCTTTCAATTCAGCATCAAGGCCATAACAAGGCAGGTCCTGCCGGCTTCCCAAAACAGGAGACCCGCACAACTGGTCAAACGCCGTCTTTTCGTTGGGGCAGGCTGTCAACGGGAGTGTTTCCCAGCACTGCAATAAGCAAGTCCTCTGGCTTTGGTCTGGGTGATGGTGAGTATCTGGCGCAGAATGGCGTAAAACCGCTGGTAAATGAATAACATGTATGTGTATGTATATTGATGTGTAGAGTAGGTTATATTATATCAATAGACCCAAAGTTGCCAGAAGCGCGAAAAAGAATGTCTGATGTAGATTTGATTTCGTCGGTCGTAAGTAGTAGACACCAAAGGCGACATTGCAACAGAATTTCTCCGACTCGTCACAACTCTTGCCATGAGCCATAGCTACATCGAAAGCTGCCACATACTCAGGCCTATGACCCACACTTGCAGCACGTGGTCCCTGCAAAACGAAGAAATCACTAATTAATGAGGTTCGATTTCTTGACAGTTTGGCTGCGACGGCGAAAACAAGGCATTGACATCACAATCTCTGTATATCTTTGTCATCTATTGACCATTTTCATTCAACTGGTCTTTTTAACTTTTACAGTTTGAATCAGTTCTAAGATTTCAAGTTTTTTTCCCGCAGTTTCAACTTCAGCCCACCCTGAGTCCAAGACGCTGGAGCTCCGCATCACATGTGGCCGCAGCTCGTTGCTGCGGAAGTCTCTTGCTTCAACCTGCTTGGAAATCTTGGAACAAATCTGTCGAGCTTTGGTGGAAACGAGGCGGGAGGAAAAATCATGATCATCATCTGACACCAAAAGGATCCATAAAGGTGTCAAAATTCTAAACAACATTCCTTCCTGTGACCCCCGCCATGTGCAGCTCAAAGCTTTGAGAAGCTTTGCAGCGAGAGCTGATGAATCATTCCAAGCTTCCCAGAATGACGAGGACTCCCCTAGGATTCTGTCCCAAAAACATCCAAAAATTGTAAAAATCTACTGATTCTGCGGTCACAAGCTCTGCCACTTTCTCTCTCAGCTCAAGGGAACGTTTTGCAGGACACCACCCGTTTCTTCTGCAGCAATCATCAGCAATCCAGTTCTACCGGCCTCTTCTTTCTCCACCATCTCCGCACCATTCCTTGGAGGTGTCCGCGGAGGAGTAGCACGATCGACCTGAAGCACAAAATTGATAGGCCTTTGGGTTGAGCCACCAATCCAAGGTGGTCTGAACCAAGTCTTAACCTATCAGAATGATGGGATATGGAGTACTTATTTGGATTGATGGTGGAGCCACCTATCCCCATATGAAAGTCACTTGGGGGCCATATACAGTAAGACCATCATCCTGGCTAGGGTTCAAGAAGAACAGCAATTTAAAGCCACTCCTGCTACCATGACAAGCACTGACTTCAGGGCAGAGGGAAGTCTTGGCGGCACAGTCCACCGCCCTTGACTTTCAGGATCACCTGCGAACTAGTTGACTTCTACGCCGTGAAGGGGGGAACAACAAATCCAATGTACATGAACTCTCTTCAAAAAATGTGAGCATCCTGTCGCTCTGCCTGAGTTTTCTTTGTTCTGAACACATCACAAGGAAACCTCTCGCACAAAGTAACTAAGTATCAGTCCCATGAGAAATGTTCACGCACGCGGACAGGACCAATATAATATAAGTTATACACCTCCACTAATTATATTGCAGCAACCATATTTTGCCTAAAAACTGTAGCCACACCCACGCATGGCCTCTTGTCAAAAAGTTCTCGCTGCTGCTGCTTCCAGAGGCATTTTCCTGAACGGCGAGGCGAACTCATGCATGCTGCATGCCGTTCAGTCACCTGGTTCAACTGCGCGTAGTTCACATTGGAACAGGTACAAGTTAGTTGACAGTGGGAAACAGTAATATAAATGATATAAATGATACAAACATTGTGTGTCAGGTGACAATCAGAAGAATAATCACATGGATAGTCACATGGGAAACTCCCAAGGTGGTGCCCGTGATGTCAGTCCTTGGGACGCCAAGCCATAGCGACTTCCTCCTCGCTGGGTGCTGCAACCACTGGTGCATCCTCCAAGTCCTGGTGATGGACTTTGAGGCCAAAAATCATCAGTAATAATCCATGGTTCCAATGTGTTCCAGGAGTTTTGGGTGTAATTTCCCCCAAAACCAACCAGCATCAACCAACTGAGTATTTCCGAAGTCCTGTAAGAGTGCCACTGATGGCCGACGCTTTGACAGTCGGGTCTTCTCGGCCTGTTCGAAAAGGAACATAAGAAAACACGTGCATGACAACCACCCCATCAATCCACCTCAAATGGATGCAAATGTTGGCATATACTTATATATATACATTTAATCACATTTTACATTCAATATACAGAATACACACAGATTCACATCATGTCACATCCATACTGTATAAACTGGACCGCCAGGTTGCGGATTGGGAAAGTGAGCTCGACAAGTTTATGAAGCTGAATAGCTGCCTGCCACTCGTGGATCTCCAACTTCACCTGGGAAAACCGCATGTGGGACAAAGTGTGCATAGCTGCCTGGGAAAAACGCAATGCTATGATAGCCATCGATATAGAATGATATAGATATATATGATATATGCATATATATGCAATAGAAAGGCCCCCCCAGGGGACCCCGGGACCCCAGGTTTAAACTGTTATATAACCCCATCTAACCTAACTACATACACATCCACCATGACGCCTAACTGTTGTAATTAGATGTAATTAGTCTAGACCAACTGAATCATTTGGGTAGGAAGCCTCTTCTTTCATCATACACGACACTTACATGCTGTACACACCCATACATATATATGTATATATAATATGTATGTAATGTGTTTTATATATATATAACAGAAGGACAAAAGTTTTTCCTCTTGACTAGCTGCTGCAGCCTTTCCCCTTAGACTCCTGACAGCTTCATATGAATCACATGGCGGATCGCGGATCAGCTGGTTTGCTTTAAAAGAGTTTTAATTATTCCGACTTGAAATACGATCTGCCATGCAGGCCACGCGAAATGAGGAGAATTGATCCGCGGCTGAGGATCATGATGTTTATAAGACGCTAAACGGGAAAAAACTTTCTTCCTCCTGATGTATGTGATGTATGTGTGTGTGTATGTATGTATATAAAGATCCGTGAATTATATGTATTTCATTCATTCACATGTCAAATACATTCAAATACTGCATAATATATGACTACTGCATTACAAGTTACAAGTATGTGGAGTTCATAAGTTGGCCACATTGTGCACCATATATATAGATATATCCAGGTTATATCCAGTATAATATTCCATGGTGTGTGGTGCGCCTATGTTCATCCCACAAAAACTGCCAAAACAAAAAGCTTCAGTACTCAGCAGTCATCAGCGGTCCAAAATGACACGGCTGCCGCTTCTTTTTCCACGCCGAGCGTGCAATATAATCCATCGCGTTTTAAGCACTGCCACCAGTCAATGCATTTGATGACCTGGGCTTGACGCGAGCAGGATTGTCAAGACATGGACTGCTGCAGACTTCTGCGGTGGAGACTACTAGGAGAGCATGTAAGATTATCTAAGATGTCTATGCAATATTCATGCGTACATATATGTTATTCCAGAAGGCACCAGCTTGTGCAAGCAGATGTTCTGACTATGTGACTATGTGGGAAATCACTGTTCTTGGTTAATAGCACTGTGTCTCGCCAGGCCCCAGGCCGAAGGCTGCAGGTTCGCTGAAGAAGTCAAACAACTTCTGCTCTTCCTCGTCAAGGGTAGTCAAACACGTCCACCTCCTACTGAGTACTACTCAAATTCATCAAAATATATCAAAATTCATCAAACCATAGGCCATGTCAATCCAATCCATATCAAACCCAGGGATGCTGTTGATCTTTGGGGTACAAAGGCATACAAAATCACTAGTTGTGCAGCTGACTCCACTGAGAATTCCTGTCCCATCCCACTCCCATGAAGATCATGGAAGCCTGTGACGAGGCTGGCAGGCCATCTTGCAGCCTGAGAGCCTCTCCGGAGAGTTCGTCATGGTCACTGTTGTCACGGCTAGATGAGACTTCTGTTGCTGTTGACCTTTCTTTTTGCTATGGCATGTTTCTAAAAATATTCTACAAATCGCATCAACATTTCTTCAGTCAATTGGAAACGCTCGTCGTTTCCAAACAACTCCGCCTACGTTAAACTCTAGGCTCATCATGGTTCATCATGGTTCGTCTGAGTTCCTCTAGTGTCCAACGGATTCCACGGTGTGGATCATTGATCACTGCTGGACGACCTGGGCGGCTGTCGTGCCACGCCTGCAGGACTCTTCGAGGACCTTGTGGCGTCACCTGCTCTGGCGTCTGCCTGTTGCTAGCGTCGCTCGATTACTCTTGACCCCAAGGGTTCCTGATGGTTCCTGTGTCAAGCCACGGTCAACAATGATACAGTAGTTGGATGATGTTGGATGTAGTTGGCTTGTTCAGCAATTTGGATTCTTTCAATCGATCTCAATTTACCCCAAGCCACACAGGTCAACCAGCACACATGCCGCAGACTCACCTGATTTGCGGAGCCCGAGGTGCTGCAAATTCTGGGCGATCTCGGCCTGGGCAGGTGTTAAGAACTTCAGTGGGCTGCAATACAGGTGATAATGATACAGTACATCGTACATCTGACATCATCTGACATCATCTAACATTGTACTTTTACATAGTCCTGCTATTAAATTACTGTTTTATATAATGTTATAATGAATAAATATATATATATATGTCATATTCTTTTGAAAGATCTCTTTGGATATTCTCAGGCTTCCCAGACTTCGCTGTCGGCTTCTGATCTGTCAGTGGCTGCCCTGCCCCATCCCGCCTTCAACGCCAAGGCCTGCTCCCAGAAAATGCCGCTGGCCGACGCCTGGTTGGGGACAGCATACAGTGGATGACCCTGGGGGGTTACCGTGTGAAACACCGTGTTACCCCGAAAAAGTGCTCATCTTTCATATGGTAGCCCCAATCAAAGCAACCAGGGGAGAGTCCGTTGACATCCCAGGCTTTGCCACATCGAACCTGGTTGCTCAACAGTCGCTGAGCTCTTTTCAACGGCTTGGGCTGAACGTTGAACAGGCCTGCTGGACCGGAAGTCAGCTGGTTGGAAGGTTGATGATACTTGGTAGTTGATATTATATAGTTTATCATAGTTGATAACCGTTGATGATAATTCTTAGTACTTAATAAGATCTTATATAAGTTATGATGATCATGCTTGCTGATGATGATAGGGTCTGATAGAGTAACGACAGTAACTATATATCTACTAAGTGACTATACTTGATAAATGGCCAGTGTTTTTATGGTGCTGGTGCTGGATGCCACAGGCCCGCCTGTTCCCCACCTGCTTTCCAGGGCGCACGGTGTCGGTTCCATGCGCACCCCGTGGCATGCGAAACCAGATCCACCGAGAAATGTCCCAAGCTGAGCCTTCCAAACCTTGGCCGGTGGAGGTGATGGAAATCCGGTGGAGGCTTCAACCAAGGCAAGAAACAAAAAAACATCGAACCCAAAAATAACGTCCTCTAACAATGTTTAATATGTTTTAGAATGATTTTCCTGCACCATCTTGCGGGATGTCCAAGTATGTGAAGCGCGCAAATCGACCATCCCTGCTCATTGTGTACCATGTTTTTATCTGCAAATTTCATCAGGGACCTGCAAGCGTATGAATGATTTGACTAATGAAGCTGGTAGTTGCAGATGTTCATCCTCGAAATCATATTATGGAAATTTGTAGATTTGATGTGTTGGCATATTCCTGTCTCAATTTCAATCGAATGGTTTTAATATGTTTTAATTAATGCACTCACCTGAGCAGTGCTGAAAAACCTCTGTCATCCGCTTTACTTTAATATAATATACTCTAAATATCTAAATCCCAAATCCTTATATTATATATATATATATCATATATCCCATAAAACCAACCAATCAAACCACACCCACTTCGTTCCCCATGAAATCTGAAGACATTGCTGGAGCAATGCTGGAGCTGGGGAGCGGAACTTGATGAAGCCTCCCTCCAGGGCGTGGCCAGGCCTCAACTGGTCCAGGAAGATCACCTCCTCCGTGCTCCGTGGGGCACCGAACCAGGTGCAGCCAGTGATCAGCAGCTGCGATCGCTTGGGATCCAAGACAGCACGGGCCACATATCTAAGGAACGGATAGGAATGGATAGGAATGGATAGGAATGGATAGGAATGGATGGCAGTGGCCAAGAATCAGCACATATTGAACAAGAGATGGCAACAGCACCATGGACGTGATGAAGATTCAAAATGGTTCAGATAAAGAAATATGACACATATTTACAGACTGAATGCGGCGCAACTATCTGCTTCCAAGATGCGTTCGCAAATATGCGTGCAGTGCCAGCGGCACACCGACCATTTGGAATGCAAACATCAAACAGCGCTCCACTGGCCATGTCAAAGCCAAAGCATAGGCCAAACCAGAGGAGGACATTAATGTCCCAAACAAGGCTACGGCTGAAACCCTCTGCAAGAACTTCAAATCACGATAGTCCTTGGATGAAGCTTACAACATCTTACAACCCTCCAAGTTGTCATTGTATAACATGCGCACTGCTCAAAAATGTTCAAAGCCTGGCATCTTGCTAAATCAGTAGCTCATCTAATTACATCACCCAGTGGGACCTGGTGAAGGCCACCAGTGCCGAGACGGCCAAGGCATGCCAAGGCACATGCAGCAAGACCATGCGGCTGCTCTCTCCCGCCAAAAAGCGTCGATCCACCGCGATGGTCTCGGCTCGGTCTCCGTCGGCTCCCAGTTGTGTGGCCCAATCCTTTGCCGCAAAGCCTCGCTGGCCTGACGTTGCAGCTCATGACAGCCCAACGAAGGAAAATTGATTGACCACAAACGACCGAAAAATGTCATGACGCTTCTTGTGTCTAGAAAACCACTTGAAAGATATTGAAAGCTAGGATGAGGTTTGGATTGCTGTGGTCATGCAGCTGCCCACGTCCCTCCCCACCATCAAAGACGCCTGGTTCATGCTGTCCAAACCAAGTTACCCAACACATCCCAACGCCATATTAGAAACTCTCGTCTCTCTCTGCTGTGACTCTACATCAGGGCGTCCAAACATCACGGGACAACAGGAGCACTGGGTAAGTTCGATGCCTCTGACAAGAAACTGTCGCTGGAGGGCACAAAGGTGGCGTGCGGTGCATGGCTTCCATCGGGAGGTCAACATTGCTTTAACTAGTCAAGCATTCAAGCTATTGGAAAATGTTTGGAACATGTTGTTTTAATTGACCTATCTGCAAAAGTGCCTTATCTATCCTTATCTGCTTATTTACCTCTGCAATCCTATGAGCATATCTCCGGCCTAGTGAGAAAAAAATTGAACATGAAAATGGTATGTGCACTCGATTACAAGGAAGAGTTGCACATAATCTGCATCCCGCTCTGCTTCCGATATCTTCCGATGCTGATGGCTAGTCTGCTTGCAATACAACTGTCCAGCTGTCCAGCTTGAGTTGGTTCGCTTTGACCAAGCCTGCATGCTAAATCTACTCAGTGGCCTCTGCAGCTCAAAATGTGATGAGGCCAAACAAGCGGTAAACAAAGTTCTTCGAATCCCTCTAGCCAATTCTAGCCATACCCTATACAGCCTATACATTGGTCCGGTGCAACAGGACCAGTTCAATTCAAATAAACTTTCAAATAACTCAGAAGAATTATTCATGGCCAATCATGATCGTTGGCATTTTGTTAATGGCCAGTGGACATGTGGAACAAAAACCATCAAGACATAAGACATGTAAGACACTTTACAACATTTTACAACCACCTACAGTACCAGTCTGGCGCCTTCTTCTCCCAAGCTTTGTCCAACTGCTCCCTTGACACCCTTGCTGTCAGTGCCATGTCCAGTGCCTAGGAGAAGGTGCAGCTTCATGTCCCAGCACATGTAAAAACTGAGTTGACCAAGATTTACCAAGTAAGGTTTGAAGATTTTGAGGTAAAGTTTACCATAAGTTTCAAATAATTCACCATTCAAAGTCTACCATAAGTTATAAGAGATATAAGGTTCAAATAGTTTCAAATAGTTTCCAAACTCAAAGACTCAGTAGACTCAGTCTTGCTTCGTCATTTCTTATCATTTCTTGGTATCTGGATGTATCTGCTGTGCCCGGCTGCACGGGGAAAGATCTGTTTGAAATTTTTGAATGTCTCATCTGTCGCACTCTGGGGAGCTGGCAGGGATCATCTCGGCAGATGTGTCTGGTGAGAAAGCCTCAAAGATATTCAAAGATATTCAAACATTGTAGATAGGATCGGATAGGATCAAATAGGATCAGATAGGCAAATAATGGCAAATTAATATGCAAATGATCGGCAAGTATAATATCATCAAATTGAATCAAATAACTATCTCAGCACATCATGTTCACCACGTCTGCGGACTAGTTTTCCTACGACCATCAAAGCTTGCATGTGTTTTCATCATCTTTCATTATTTTCTGGTTGAGCTCGTGACTGATAAGTCTTCAGTAGCTCTTGCCGTGACTTCGTGCTTCTGCCTTAGCTCCGTGATATCAATAGCAGTATTTGAAGATTGGCTTGTGGAGCTACTGGGATCTTATTCAGAGATCCTCAGACTCCAAACAGGTTCTGCGGTGCATCCCTAAGACAAGAGGGTCGCAAGTCCTCTGCATCACATGATGATATACATGATATACCCCCCTTGAACCAGGCTTTGGTGGAGAAGTTCTACCACCCGAGATACAGCAGGACTTTGCCGAGCACACACACACACACACATCTCCACCAAGGTGTTTCAAATAATGCAAGCCATCAAGCACTGGGCAAACAATGGCAAACAAATGGCAACCAACAATCATCATCCATGACTCCATGGCCTAATGCAATTCTGGATACGGTATGTGATTCTCCTCCAAACCCCGTTTGTTGTTGGAACAGCACCCCGAGCTTTGGACTTTTCAATCCTTCGGACTGCTGTCGCGCTGTGTGCGCAATGGGATGCAATGGGTCACCCGGTCACCCCTGTTGGGCGCTACCTTTACAGCAAGTGTCAAGATCCAACAGTCAACATCGATCAACATCAATCAACATCCAACAAGTCTGCTCAACCAGCCACCTGCCAATCTGAAAAGGAACCATTGCCGCTCACATTGGCGGTGACGAATCTGTTGGAGCACTGTCACCCCCTTCAGTTCCAGCCTTAGCGGCGCAGGATTTACCACTTGTGCGTGCGCGCAGACCACTGCAGTTTGTGACCAAGGTCGTTTCCTGGTTGTATGGTATTGTATGGTATTGTAATAAGGTACCCCCATAATATCCCATAATTAGTGTATATATCCTACGTACTTTGTAGTTTGTTCCATATACCCTATGCTTCCAAAGGACATATCTGGTATAGTCGTTACGTGCTAGCCTATACCGGGGTTTTGGAGGCTATACCAGGATGTTTTCCTGGTATAGGCGAGCAGTTTTCCCAGTATAGGCTTTCATGAAATCCCTGTATAGGCGTTCATGGTTTCCCGGTATAGGCCGTAAGCCCCTTGAGTCCATACGTATAGGCTGTGAACCATCCCCTGCACAATCTAGATTGTTTTTTGCAAGCTATTTCATTTGTGTGCGCGAACCCGACCTCGTGTTTGCTCATTGAAGCTGGGCACAAACAAACCGCCAAAAGTCAAAACAAACAGCCATCAAAAAAAACAAAAACGATTTCAGATTTTTTTGTGATCCCCGAGTCCATGTCCCGGTATAGGCGTTCCACGTCCCAGTATAGGCGTTCCACGTCCCAGCATGGACGTTCCACGAGTTGTCCTGGGGTTGTCCTCGGCTCCCTGTGCTTTCAACATGCCATCTTTTTTTCTTGCTGAAATTCTCTGAATGTTTCTGATATCCTGACTCAAACTCCCGAGCGCATGCCCGTTTCCAAGAAAAATCTACATCGTTTTTTTTTCTGCTGGGCATTTGTGGACAATCCAAAGGGGTCTTAGCATATCCTATTACTATTCCTTGGGCCAGTATCCTGGTATATCCTGGTATAACCCTTAGGCCACTCCCGGTATAGTCGTTCGTGGCTTCCTGGTATGTCCGAGGTGTTATCCTGGTATGTTCGAGCGAAACCCGGTATGTTCGAGCATTCCCAGTATGTTCGAGGCTATACCAGATATGGTCGAGGAAGCATAGGGTATATATATATATATGCGTATATCTATCAGTCTGTCTGTCTGTCTATCTACCTACCTACCTAGCTATCTATCGTTCTATCTATCTGTTATATTTGTGCTAGGATGCACATCCATCAGGGAATGGCTCATCCACAACAGCACAGCTGAGCCGGGGGCCACGAAGAACGTCACCTGCGGCAACGCGAGCTCCACCGAAATGATGCGTTCTAAGCCAAGGCCAAAGAGTGCTCCTGCCAATCAGAGGGAAAAATAAAGGCCCTCGGGTGGTTGTCATTCAACGGGGACCTACCAACATATGTTGAAGAATATTTCATTGAGGTATGCTAAGTTGTGATGTTTGATTCCCAGTGGTCACATATCCGAGTACTCCAAGAAACTCCAAGTTAAAATAATTGAACAGAATCTGTGGCTGCTACTTGCAGTCAATTGAAAGTCCTGGGTCCCGTACTAGAGTTGAGATATGTCGAGAGATGGAAAGCGTTTTAGGTTTAGAAAGCCAAAAGGAGGAGGATGTCCGGGTCAATGGCCAGGTTGGAGCAAGCTTCCAATAAAGAAAAATCAACAACCGTCAATTAATTTGCAGCATTTTCGCAATATTTCTCCATAGAGGAGTCACCAGCTCAGCAAATGGCACACCTTGAAGCAGCCCACAAGGAAGCGCCAAGTGGAGCAAAGCCAGCTGCTGGCGCGAGACGTGCTCACCAAGGAATTGATTCTGCGCAATGATCCGTTCTACCCTAATCTTAACTCAATACTGCTGAAAAACATTGACAAACCTGAATGTATAGGGGTATTTCATGGTATTTCGGTATTTCATATTAGGCTGATGGAATTACATGGGATTACCATTGGTTTTGAAGTGCCAGCTGAAAATCATGGATCATGGGACTTTGGGTTCAGCTGAGACGCCTGAGACCCCCATTTTCCCAAACCAACCTGTGTCTCGGAGACCTCCGAACTGCTGCCCGCAAAGCCCTCCAGCCAACGAAAGGAATGATCGATAATGATGTAGCCTGAGCATTCCGAGTTTCCCATGTTTCCCAAACTCTAAGAAGGCACCGCACGTTGAACATATTTCAGCAAACCTGTTGACACCAAGCTGCTCACAAGTCTGCAGGCTATTGAAACCGTACGCTTTGGGTGACATTAGCGATCTGGGTCCAATCCGAACGGCACGAATCCAAGGTCAACAATCTCAAACTATCCAAGGAGCCACCATGCTTGTCTGCCTGCAGTCTGCTAGCAGGCTGATGGAACAGGTATGTCCAAAGCTCCTTGCAAACGTACTTCATGATCATGCGCTCCTTGCTTCTTCGCTGCAGCCATCGGCCCCATCACCAGTGTGGGAAAGAAACACCAAGGCATCATGGCACTTAGGTCGTATCAACAAACAAGAAGAGTTGGAATGCTTCAAGCCACTATTTTCATCTATTTTCCTGGTTAGTGGGAGATATGGAGGCTTCAGCACATGGTGGAACCTTTGTTGGCCCAGGTACGTTGGTCATCGGAAAGCGTGACCCTGCCAGGCGGGTTATGAGCCTTGATGCTGTTCAGCTTGCTGGATGCAAGGAGCCAACCGCAACCCTGCAATACACTAAAATAATGCCATAAAATAAGTGACAGAGTCACAGCACAAAGTTAAGAACTTAGTGGGAATGTCAGTTTATGTTGTGCCCAGCAGCCGGACACCAGTCGTAAATCCGAGTCTTCTCAACTTGTCTTCTGCCCCATCAGGGCCGAAAGTGTCCTACAGCTGATGGCTGCGCGCTTGAGAACGATTTGTCATTTGCGTCTCTGGCAGCCTGTAGTGGTCTCATGCTTTGCAGAGTTTGTGGAGTGGTCTCATGCGCTGTTCTCCCGCTATCACTATCTATTCTTGGGAATAGTGTAGCTCAGCCAGGGCGCAAACATAGCCACTTGCACTTCCAAATGTTCATTACCACTTTAGAAGCTTACCTAGCCACCCAAGAGTAGAAGAAATGGATAGAAATGGTGAATCTCTCCTGGTTGATTGACCTATGCACTGAATGAGGCCCCATACAATGAATGATCCAACTCCGAATCGCTTGAGTTTGGAATGCAGGTCCCGCGCTTGCCGGCAAAGGTTCTCGCAGGGATACCACCATCTGTGCATGCAGCAACGTGTACATTGCATTGGATACCAGTCCTCAGATGCCAGAACTTCCAAACAGGTCAGCCAGTGGAGTTAGATAAATGCAGGAAAAGCAACGGCAAAAAGGGAAGAGCGCGATCCTGGACCACATCCAAGGATCGAATTTTTCTCTCATTATGACTATGACTATATGGCATAACTTGATTGAACCGGGATATCATCCAACCCCGTATCCTACAGTACCGTTCCCACCTTTCACATTTTGGCAGACTGGGACGTTTCATCAAGCTTCGTTCGGGCAACGCTGCACCAGTGCCAGGGCCAATGAGAGGAGGTCGCCTGCAATGGTACGGGCGATGTGGAAAACATGCCAATTAGCTGGAAATTCATGTTAAAGCCTAGTTTTAAACATGTTTAAACCATCCGCCTCCATTGGCGTGTATTATGGTATACCATGGTATACCCATTTCATATCATTTAATTAATCAGTTAGGATGATGTAAAGCGACCCCCAAAATTCAAAATCCCCCAAATAGTTGATCATTGGATGCTTTACTATTGGGCCTACCTCACTACAAAAATCATCAAAAATCATTCCTCAAGGGCAGTAGTCGTAGCCTCTATCTGTGGGCACAAACCTCCGTAACTCCGTTGAGTGATCAATCCAGCACGTTGACGTTGACTACAATTGGAAGCGTTCAGATCTCACGACACCACTTCAATGGAGGGTGCGCAATAAACGCTCTGTGAAAGTTGAATTACGGCGTTTAGGATCGTTTAGCGCGCCAAAAAGCTGGCCATGTTTTGGAAGCATTTGGGAATTCCAAAATGGTTTGGAGTTATCACACCAGGTGTCAACCCAGAACCAAATAAGCCAAGCAACTCTGGATAGCCCTTAGGCGACCTTGGCCAGTATTGGCCAATGGGTTGGGAAGAACCGCACACATAGGCTACGCTTGCACATACAAACATGGGCTTGTCGGAAATAGGGTGCGAAAAAAATCTCAGTCCACTGCAATTTTCCGTATTCAAGTGGCCAAACTCATATCAATATTGGTGACGTGCCTGATTACAGCTGAGCACCTTTACAATACCTTGTGATTTCTTGACAGAAGCAAAAGCATTCTGTCCCAGCACATAACAAGCACTTTACCGCACCACTGGCCGAATCCAGCTCTGTCAAGCCACTCTGCCATAGCTTGGGAGTTGCGAGTCACCAGTATCAGGCAGAATTGTAAGTCATGCGTGCTGGAAACGGTTATGCAAGTATCATCAGGTCTGAATTGGTCCTCAAAGAGTGATGAAATTCAATGGGCCTGATTTGGCCTTGAAGGGCGCGACTCTAGGGCTGATCATGATGTCAATTCAGGTCTGATTTAGGGCCATGAACCTCCAAGTGGTGATGGCACAACTCCCATTGATGCTGTTGGGGATGCTGTTGGGCCAGGGGTCAATCCACAATTTTGTTATAATAATGGCACATAATGGATCGTAATGGACCATAACGGGGCATATAATTTCTAATTATAGATTATAATGGATTATTGCTATAATGTTGGTGTCGGTGCTTGTAATTGCGCGCATTCTGATCCTCGGACTTTGTGTAGCAGGACTTGTTGGTTCTCCCATTGGTCAAACCACCAATTCGTTTCAGCAAGAGCAGCCCTTGAACGAGCACAAACGGCGAACAAGCAGGCAATCAGGCAAAAACGATCATGTGTATATATATATATATAACAATATATATCAATATATGGTATCATATAATATGGTATCATGAAACCTGCATAGCTCAAAGTCATGGTAATACCATGTAATTAATACCCAAGTGCAGCATTTGAAAGGTTTGTGCATGCAAGAGCCTGGACTGACTTGCCAGTTTATATCTGCCGCCAATAACACACCAGAGCACACCCTGCTCAGGTCGAGACGTGTGATCACGAAGCTCCTGCAAAGAACACTGCTATACCGCTATACCAATCGATACTAATGTCATGGGGGGTTCCCAGAGCATCCTCAACAATAAATCATCACGAATGAGTTATGAGTACCACGATTGGGTGGGAGTTGTCGCATCCTCAGTTTCAGCTGGAGGTCTATGGCAGTTTCCCAGTACATTGTACAAGATGTATTTACAATATTTACAGTGAGGTTGCAGCCTGTCACCTAGCGTGAATGACACAAGTGGCCGTACAGTGATGGCATCTCAATTCGCAGCTTAGAGAACATGCGAAGAACCGAGACCAAAAACGTTGGTTCTTGCAGCTCTTGCAAAACATCATGGGGGTGATAAATGCGCCCCGTCATTCATTTGATCACAGCAAGTTGATGTGAAACATTGAAAAACACTGCGACGGAAAACACACTTTTGCGGATAGGATCCAGAATGTCCTCTAGTCGGCCAAGGGCATAGTTCAAGAGGTCAGTTGAAACTGCCGCCTGACAAGCACAACCCGGCATTTGCGTCCGTTTTCCTCTCTCTCTCTCTCCCTCGCCATCTCAGCCGAGCCATTTTGAAAACGACCCTTGCTTTCACCAGCACGGTTTGCCGCCCCGTGGGGAACAACTGGAACAACCGAAAGTGGCAACGCATCTCCACCATCACCAGAAGCTTTTCTATGTACTCTCTGAAAAGTGAGAAGCCATTGGCTGCTGTTGTTCAATCATTCAGTCCTTCAAATTCACATCGCAAACATCCCCGCTCCAAGTGTGATAGCTCTGGACCTTCTCTGCTTGCTTTACCACTTGCCTTTGTGCACAAGGCCGCAAAGGCAGAAAAAGACTGCGCACAGCAAGCCATGCCATCTATAAGTAACTTGATGAACTACCGTATGACCGTACGAGTGTGACAAGGGGCTGTTGAGGCTTTTGAATTATGGTGGCGCTGCTGGGTCCAAAGCTGCACAAAGTCATCCGTGGAACCTTTCGCTGGAGCCCCTGACTGCAGCTGCTCCATGAAATCCGCGGAAAAACTTCGTTCACCAAGTGTTGAGAGCAGCGCCTGGACATTGATTGACAAATGTTGAAGTTCAAAGGAGCGACAAAGTCTCGGTTGATTCAAAGCAAGGCCACAGAGACTCGAATGCTTGCAATCCTCAAGGGTCAACTACACATACTATTATATATATATATACATACTTCAAAACAGTTCAAAACCTACAGTGGAACATGTCATTATAGGTCTAGGTCTGTCCCTCTCAAAACTGGAAACCCAATCAAAATGCTCCATCAAAATCATTATCATATTGATTGCATCAATTGGAATGTGGACTGAACATGCTCCATTTCAGTAACATGATGACACAATAACAGCCCATACAAATTGTAATATTTATATGTAGCACTGGCATGTTGCTAATAATTCATTGTTAGTATTTTCCAATGATCCTTACTATTTCTTCTAATATCTGTGAGAAATAATAGAAATGCAGTATTTACTAGTAGATTTGGTAATATAATGGTAATATATCGAATTAGTAGATTTGTTACCCCCTAGTTTTACCATTATATTACCATTATATTACCAAATATACCCGAATTACAATGGTAACCCACGAGTTTTACCGCGTTCGGGCTGCCTCTTCCGCAGCCTGACGAAGCCGTCGCCGGCCACACTCCTGGGCCATGCAGTGACAAATACAGGTCGAAAACATTCAAAGCCTTTGAGGATCTGGTAACATCTATGGTAAATCCATGCAAATCCACTGATATAACATATGTAAAGTGTGTGTGTATATATATATATACATATTGTGTGTGTTTACATGTGATATATCAACATCCTAGTCTATCATTGAGTTTTTGGAGCTGTTTAACAGTTCAACATCTTTGGAACGAGACTTCACGACAGCTCATGGTGTAGACACCTGTCCTCATGTGCAGACTCCAGCGCTTCGGCTTGAACTCCCGCCTGGTACAGTTGGAGGTGACCAGACTTCTGGCTTCTGCCATCGAACAATTTTGGGCACCCTATATATCAAGAGAGAGACAAAGAGAGGCGCATACAGTATCAATATGTATGTATATATATATATTAATATATGTTATAAACATATAGCATCATAATATATAGCATATAACATCATATAATGTTAGCCTCCGATTAGTGTCATGGTACCCTGTTGTGAGATGTTTTCCCTTCCTAATTGAGTGTCTTGCCGTTTGTGGGGGGGAGGCTCTATTGTGCGAAGTTTTTTTTCAGATTCATTTTTTCAGGAGTGAAAAAAAGGTTCAAGAAAAACTGATCATTTGACTACACATGTTTATTTGCACACCTGGTCCTTTAGAAAGCCATATCCATGTTAAAGCCTTGAAAATGCAAGGTTTCCGAAATAATTAGATGCCTTTTTAAAACCTTCTTAAAAAACAGCACCAAACAATTTTTCAAGGAGGTACCCCATGAGTGACCCAGATCCGCAATAATGTAATTGTTTCGATGGCGCCCTATTGTGCACAAAAACTTTTGGGGCATTGTTTTTGGATTAAAAGGAACATCAATTGAAAGTAGATTCGAATGAATTGAAAGTAAATTGGTTTCAATTGAAATCCTTTCTTATCAATAGATTTCTTTGAGGCTTAAAAGGAAAATCAATTGACAGTAGGTTCAATTGAATTGAAAGTAAATTGATTTCAATTGATATCCTTTCTTATCAATAGATTTCTTTGAGGTCGAAAAGGAAAATCAATTGAAAGTAGATTCAAATGAATTGAAAGTAAATTGATTTTAATATCCTTTCTTATCAATAGATTTCTTTGAGGTCGAAAAGGAACAATTGAAAGTAGATTCAATGAATTGAAAGTAACATTGATTTTAATATCCTGTCTTATCATAGATTGTTTTGAGGTTTAAAAGGAAAAGCAATGAAAGTAGGTTCAGTGAATTGAACGTCAATTTGTTTAATATCCTTTCTTATCAATAGATTTCTTTGAGGTCGAAAAGGAAAATCAATTGAAAGTAGATTCAAATGAATTGAAAGTAAATTGATTTTAATATCCTTTCTTATCAATAGATTTCTTTGAGGTCGAAAAGGAAAATCAATTGAAAGTAGATTCAAATGAATTGAAAGTAAATTGATTTTAATATCCTTTCTTATCAATAGATTTCTTTGAGGTCGAAAAGGAAAATCAATTGAAAGTAGATTCAAATGAATTGAAAGTAAATTGATTTTAATATCCTTTCTTATCAATAGATTTCTTTGAGGTTTAAAAGGAAAATCAATTGACAGTAGGTTCAATTGAATTGAAAGTAAATTGATTTTAATATCCTTTCTTATCAACAGATTTCTTTGAGGTTTAAAAGGAAGATCAATTGAAAGTAGATTCAAATGAATTGAAAGTAAATTGATTTTAATATCCTTTCTTATCAATAGATTTCTTTGAGGTCGAAAAAGGAAAATCAATTGAAAGTAGATTCAAATGAATTGAAAGTAAATTGATTTTAATATCCTTTCTTATCAATAGATTTCTTTGAGGTCGAAAAGGAAAATCAATTGAAAGTAGATTCAAATGAATTGAAAGTAAATTGATTTTAATATCCTTTCTTATCAAAGATTCTTGAGGTCGGAAAAGGAAAAATCAATTGACAGTGGTTCACTTGAATGAAGTAAATTGATTTATTCTTTCTATCACAGATTTTCTTTGAGGTTAAAAGGAAGATCAATTGAAAGTAGATTCAAATGGAATTGAAAGTAAAATTGATTAATATCCTTTCTTATCAATAGATTTCTTTGAGGTCGAAAAGGAAAATCAATTGAAAGTAGATTCAAATGAATTGAAAGTAAATTGATTTTAATATCCTTTCTTATCAACAGATTTCTTTGAGGTTTAAAAGGAAGATCAATTGAAAGTAGATTGATGTCAATTGAAATCCTTACTTAAGTTGACTATCCTAAAAATTGATGGGGGCGCAGAAAATGCCGAGTTATTGAGTAGACTCAAATTGTCGAGGGCGCGGGCCACACTAATCAGAGCCCAACATTACCCAAGATTATCCAACTATAGAGGTATGGATGGATATGGATGGATACGGTCCTATGTCCTAGTCCTAATATGTCCCAAGATCAGCAGATCGGGACAGGGCAATGTCGATGAATATGTCATTGCACAGCCTGAAATTGGGGTGCCAAGGCTGCTACGGGCCTCCTACCTCTGCATGTAGTCTACTGTTTTGGAATGGATCAGAATGCAACAGTCTGTAACAACATCACACCATATCAAGCCATTCAAACCCCGTGTTCTACATCCTCACCTGCCAAGCTTGCTCACAAGCATCTGACAACGTCTCAGCTGAGACCTTCCAAGCACGCACAAAAACCAGATTGGACAAGTTTGGTCAGAGTCATGATGAATGCAGGTACTTGAGCTCAGGTGCATGAGTGCTGCAACACAGGATTCGGGAATCTGCCATGTCCAGCTTGCAGACCAAATATAGTTTTGAAAATTTTGCAAAGCCCCCTATGCGCCATGTGCCCCACAAGTTGTGCAAAGATGTTCAAAGATGTGCGAATACATTCCGAGGTTGCTTGAAGCGAGCAGCACACCCTAACACAGTCCATTTTGCCCACATGCGGACCTTTCACAGGGTCGTTAGTTCCATGTGTTTCACATAAGCCACTGAAATGCCAAGACCATCACGGTGGCTGTCAAGGACAGCAGCTGTGAGGATGACCGCTGCGACAAGGGGTCGCTGGGTTGCACCAGGGCCAAGCCAAAGACCCCATGCATCTCAAGCACTGGCTGCAAGGGCTGCTCCGCCAGCACGCCGCATGGCATGGCATAGACGGTGCTGGCGCCCTCATCGGCCACAAAGACCGTGCCGGCGCCATCCCACACCAGGCCACGAGAAAGGATGAAGCCCTCATTCAAAGCTGTGGCATTGCCACCACCAAACTTTGGAACACCGTAGACGCCAGCGCCATTGCTGAAGAGGACGGAACTGACGGTTGCTGCAATGCCGAAGGAGTTTGCAGTCATGGTAGTCAATTTTCCACTAGGGGTAGATCCTTTCACAAATGCTGTGCCAACGGAGCCACGTTCAAGTCCATGGTCCTGGTTTGCCCAATACACCTGCACTGCGTCCGAAACGACACCAGCAGGGGTTGCTGCGTGGACATCATCCGCCTCAAAGAGTTTGATGATGACTTCCTCGGAAGACTCCTGAGACACCAGGGCCACAGGAGTTGCAATGGCATTGCCAAGGGCGTTGCCCACAGCATTGCCGAGTGCTTCTGCATTTTGCTCAAGATCTTGAAGGTGTGGCTTGACCTGCATGGCTCGTTTGCCCTGCTCCTCTAAAGCTGCTGCCGGATGAGCGGCGCTCCTCTGCTTCAGCTCACCCGGTGTGATCTCACCATGTACCAAGTTCAACAGCAGCACCGCATCAATTTTGTTCACGGTCTTTCGGGCCTGGTCTGAATAGTAGAGGTTGCCATTGTGGTCAAGTGAAACCCATTCACTACTGACCTCACTGAGAATGGTTGTCTCTTCACCTGCCCACAGAGTCCATGGCAGCTCGCAGGCGCTAGGACCTTGAGCTGAGTCGGTGGCAAAGGGGTCTGAGACAGCTGCACCCATCCTTGGATTTTGCGTCAGGAGCCCCAACTGGGTTTTTTCCAAGTAGGTTTCCGAAATTGTGGGTTGGATATGTTGGATTATATCATTTGGAGAGTATAACCAATGGGGAAGATAAAATGAAAACTAATTCATAAACATATCATATCGCCTTCAGCACAGCCAAGCATCAAACCTGCCTTCTCTTCTGGTGTGAAACATCGTTCCAGGAAGAGCCGCCAGGAGCGAATCCTCCGCGTCCCGGGATCCGCCACAAAGAGCAGATTGTGGCGAGGATCAAAGGCTAAGCCCTTGGGACTACTGATGCCACCCTTGATCAACGGCTTCACCAAGTTCTTCACTGCTCGGTAATCATCTGTGACCTGCGCATAGCTGATGATGCGTTCCTCAGGGCTGGAAACGATGAGAAATCTGGGAGGCAATGGAGCGGGTGGATAGATATGCCATGCAGATGGCCTCAGTAGAAAATCTTCTGCTGCATGCAGGCGATCAGGAGCAGTCCGGAGCAGGTTTCCGAGGGCCAAACCTGGAAAGATAGCAGACCACCACAGTGCCATCGCTACAATTTGAACGGGGATGAACTCACCATCTGAACTCAAATGGCTATGGCACAAATATATGTATACAAATATCCTCTAACAACCCAAGAAGGGTTCTTCCATCGGCTTGCACTCATGACACTTGCGAACAACGACGCTTATCTTGGCTGATGACTCAAAGTTCAAATGCATGACCGAAGGCAAACCTGCACTCAGTCTCGACAACTGCTGCCTTCGGTTGCTCCAGGACATGCTGCAAAGCATCCATCGCTGCGTGTTGCATACTCTTCTTCCAAGCCTGACACATCACAGATCTGACACAGCGCCATGCAGATTCATCATCTTTTGTTCGGCAAGCTGCAAATAGCTGCAGCTACAATGTGGACATATGTGGACCATGTTCATGTTCAACTTCTGTCCTCCTCAGGCCATGCGCCTCATGCTCCAATTCCCGGCACTTGTCGTGAGCCCACCTCAAGGGGTGTGAATCCGGGGATATCTGGGGTGATTCCTGCGGATATCTAAGGTGATCTAACTTTGGTAACCGCTGATGCTGTGACAGGAAATTTAAACATACAGCATCATACAGCTGAACTGGTTTGAAAGTATGAGACGGTACACAGTAGTCCGTGATGCTTATTTATTGCTGTGCTGGTTTGGATTTTATTTGGTGCCAGTATGTAATACAACTATAGGCAAACATGGATCATAGTGATTTGTAAATATTTGTAATGCATCTCTATCCAGATTTGCGATTTTATGGGCATCCACTTCACTCATGGGGCCCATGGGGGCAACGGCAGGCTACTGAGGCTATTGCTCGATAAGTTCCCATCCGCTGCCTGCAGCAACAGCCTGCAGCAGTGTGGATGTGCCATGAAAAGAATCGGGATATCATGGGACGTCCCACGATAATATGATAATGGAGAAATAGTGAGAAATATTCACGAAGTATCACCACCATATTAATAGAATCACGAAACAGCTCGGAACAAATTGGAGATTGAGCAACCACAATCTGGATATGTATCTTGCAAGACACGAGCTATGTGCCATTCCTCATGATCCTCATGACCCGTTATTTTGATTTATTTTGCACATAAATTTCATAAAATTGATAAAATACGTGACCGGATCCCATACCCCCACCCATTCTTGCTGCTTACATCCCCCACTTCTCCTTTTCAATCTACATATCATCACAAATAACATATCATAAATCATCATAACTATTCATAACTGATAGAATTGTATTCCAACAACACCCGTAACCGTAACCACGCTAAACTTGGCCTCTGCCAGCGCTTCCCGCAGGGCGGGAGGCTGTTGCTGCTCGACTGCACGGCGCAGTGCCTACGGGCATGCATGATATCAAGGCAGGGGAGATCCAGAGGGTTTGCTGTGGTTAGATCTTAAATCTCAAGCATTGTGCAATATGCAAACTTGAAAAAGACCTATCAAATTAAACAAGATCAATACATTCAATATGTAGATGTGGCTTTGGCTCAACAATGATGCTCAAAAAACGGTGGGGATCGTTCTGCGCCATACCTATGAATTGGTCTGGATATGTCTGGATCACCTGCGTTTTGGTATGGATTGGGGGTATGGATCGCCTGTGGGTTTAAACCCTTGATCCGGACCGGACATTTCAATGGATGTAAATGAATGTAAATGATTTCAAATTGAAGGGTTACAGGGAAACGAGAAAGTTACGCCCATGTTTAGGGGGTAGGCACGACTTCGTACGTTAACTTCTCTGCAGCTAATTCTGGTATTCTGCAGCCCGTGAGCACGACATTGTCTGTTCCCTGTAGTTATTTTTTTTTAATGACGGCTGAAACTTTGTCAACTGCAAATCCAATACAGCGATGCATAGCGATGTATTGATCCGCTGTTCAATGCTGTTTACCTCTGTGTCCCTCCCGTGGAGACGGTGATTCAGTGATGCTAGGTAAAGAATCACTCTCTCTCTCTCTCTCTATCGCCGTCCCGAAGGTTCAGCTATTTTCCTGGCTGCTTTTGTTTTCTGCGCCAGCTGCGTCCCAATCTAAGAAAGCAGTCACTACAGTGACATTGTCACCAGTGCAGCGGCGGAACGACTCATTGCACACTGCCTGAGCAAGGAACAGTGGATGGGGCATGATTGGACCAGTACCCAATTGGCAGAAAGAAGTCAAGCTGAAGGTTGGATGATCCATAAGAGAAACGTCTGTCATTGTCCTTCAGCACACATAGAATACCTGCACATCGGTCCCAATCGTCTATATAGCATCAATTTGAAAGTTTCCCAAGCTGCACGTAAACATTGCCCAATGGACCAAGAATCAACAGGTACAATCAATGCCAGACATTTTCCTCCAAGTCAAGGACACGTGACACAACTATGATGATCAGGATGAATGATGGTACTCATAGCATCTCATGGATTTTCATGGTATGCAAATGGGAAACACATTATTCACACTACTGTCACTCGTGCATTGCTATCATCGACACTTCTGGCCTTACATGCCGCCGCTGCATCAGTGTGGCGCATCACATGCTGCGACACATCCTCTAGCGGCAGCACATCTGTGACACCGTCAGAGACGAGCACCTGTCAAGTTGTCCGGCAATGCTGGTGACATGTTCTAGCGCACAAGTTTAAAGGCGGTAAGCTGCAAACCCAACGTGTCCATACACTCATTGTGGAAGTGCGCTTTCTTGAAGCGAATAGTGAACATATGGCCAATGCAGGTATACTTCCAACATCTTCCAACTAATTAGGATTAACAAAAGGACCCGGATACTGTAGCAAGTCTTTTTCTGTTGTTGCAAATTAGAATCCAAAATATCCACCGAAATGGCACGCTCTACTTTGGGAACCAAGGTTTGCACATTTTCATCACCACAAACTGCGGCTCAAATAGCGGCCACGTGTTATGCAACCCTTCCCTGCACGTCAAGTTGCTATTGCACCATGGCCCCTGGCCAGCTGGAAATGTTTTACATCTGCAGAGCAGCTCACCAAGTCCACACGTTGAAACCCATCGAATCTGAGGTCGCAGGGTGGGTGAACCGCCAATGGCGGATTTTGATGAATTTAAATGGTTTTAGATTGGTTTTAGAACAGTTTTATAGCTACCCTCATGCAATTTCATATGGCCCATATGCCTATGATTTGAATCGGAAAACACCTTCACATAATTCAGCTACATTTGGAAGCCGGTCATGATTGCTTCTTGGAGGATGTGTTTGGTCAACGCTAAGCACACACTGCAGAATGTTAAAGCGGGCCATCTTCCAAATGTCCACATGTCCGATTCCCGATCTTTTCGGGAGCTTCTGCTACCAGTAGTCTTAAGTAAATTCATTGTCCTCAGCAAAGAAAGCATTGAACAACAATATGCGGCAATCATGCACCCAATTTGGTGTGTGGAATTCAACTGCACTCACAACTTGTCATCCTCACTGCCATCGAGGCACAAGTTTTTAAAGTCCCGGTCACCGAATGCGCGACTGAGAGACAGCGCTTGCGGCCAGTCTCCAGTGACTCCAGAGGCACCTGAGTGAAGCGTTGCGCTGATCATGGTACAATATGAACCAATATGATACAATATGGTTAGTGTTGGTGCCGAATGTGCTAATGCGGGCATGATGGCAGGCTGCTTCTTGGGGTGCAAACAAATTAAATCCAAGCAACAGAATCTGAGGTAGCACAAGCACCAGTTAAGCATTTGTCCGATCTCACGTGGAGGAACATAGGTAACTTAGCTAGCTAACCTAGATAATCCTCAAAGTAGGTGTGAAAAGATCTGCGATCCCGGTGGTCTCTGCAAAGCGGCTTTTGGCTTGAAGCTCTGCCAAGCGCTCTTGAAAATCCGGATGAACTACTCGCAATGTGCCGCCCAATTCCAGCACATAGCCACCTCGTTGAGTCTTTGGGCAACTCCGGCAGCATTCTACGAATGAATCCAGAACAATTCACATGTGCACCTGCCCTGGTATCATTGCAATTAAAGATAAGTTTGGAACTCGCTGCGGGTTCCAAGTATCCATTTATGTCATTTATCACGCACTGATCGTGCTGTAAGGGCAGTTAGCACCTTGATCATATCTTGACAATCTGGTTCGCACAGTCAAGTCATGTCAAGTCATGCAGTGACATATTCAGCATTCAAAGGTCAGATCGTTCTCTTCATCATTGGGATCAGAATTTGTTACATAATTACATCGACGAAGTCCAGCTGCCCGGGTTTCCAGAATATCCTCTATCTATGTCTATCTGGGGTTTGACAGGGCACCCCACATCTTGCACCAACCCGGCCCTGGTACAAGTTAGGCATCAATGTCAGTTAAGAATTCCTGTCGCGTCTTGAGAGTTGGCAACCCATGCATTCCTATTAGTCAAAAAAAATTGAAACGGCGTTCCCACATCCCAAAGCAATGTCTCAGCCTGCTTCACTAATGCGTTTCTTCTCCACTGCAGAACCGGGTTTGTGATTTGGAAACGCAAAGGGTGTCACAACGTCGCCGCACAGCACGCCGCCGCTGTCACCTAAGAAATATTGCAGGCAACAGCTTCAGAGTTTGACAAGTGATGACAAGACATGTACCTGTGACATCCTGTGACCTATGACATACTAGGACATACTAGGACTATCTCAAGCAAGCATCAGTAAATACAGTTGCACGCTCGAAACCTGAAAATGTCTCTGCCTCCCTCTCGGGATGGCCCATAAAGACCTACCCTGTGCTCTAATGATTCTAATGTCTCAGTTTGCCCTACTGAATTTTCGAAACTTTCAATGTTTGATTGCTATTGTGATCTATTGTGCTATTGAATGCTATTGAGCCTTGCGATGACCCAATTTCATGATCCCGGTTTAATGTTCAAGCGAGTCCAAGCAAAATGCCCTACCCTGCCCAGATTGGCAATGAATAAGTCCGTTCCCAGAACCAGAGCAATGATGGCAGTGGAACCATCTGGGCAATCGTGCTCCATGAGAAAATCCTCGTCTAATTCGTTGCAGAGCTCCACTAGCAACTTGGGGATCTGTGCCTTTGCCGCTTCTTTGGTCATAGTGGTCCCCAAAGTGACAGACAAGGGAAGCTTATTCGAAACAGCTAAGCACCCACTTCCACCCCTCTCTCTCTCTCTCTCTCTCTCTCTCTCTCTCCATCGCCATCTCACCCACTTCCATCATTGATATTCATGTATCATCCTTTCGCTTTGTTTTGCGGTGGATTCAGCGTGCAGCGATGTTAATCCCTGATGATATCTGCACCTATACAGTACCTGCAAATTATGTTGGTGGCCACCTAAGTGAGTGATTTCTGCTTGGCCATTCCAAGTCTGAAACTATACTTTGTAAATCTTTATAATACGTTATACTCTTATATGATTTATTATATATATATATATTGCTATACCCCTGTAATGCTTATAACTAAACTTTAAAGCGTGGCAAACCTGCAGGCCAAAGGGGGCGGCCACGCCTGCTGCAGAAATTCAGAAATTGCGGGTCAAAATAGCGGGCCTCCCTCCAGCCACTTTTCCCCGAACTAACTCTTGCAGCTCTCCCAGGCCCATCCCCAACTGTTTCCACCCAGGTTCTCCCAGGAAATCCCGGAAACCCCACAAAAGCGCAGAAAATAACACCCAGGTTCTCCCAGGAAATCCCGGAAACCCACAAAAACGCAGAAAATAACACCCAGGTTCTCCCAGGAAATCCCGGAAACCCACAAAAACGCAGAAAATAACACCTAGGTTCTCCCAGGAAATCCCGGAAACCCACAAAATCGCAGGAAATCACTAATTTCCTGGGAGAACCTGGGAGAACCTGGGAGAACCTGGGAGAACCTGGGAGAACCTGCAAGTTGGGATTGACCTGGGCAGACTTAGGCGGACCTGGGCCGACCTGGACGGGGGTAGCCTGAATAAACCACGCATATGTAAACCAGAGCAGAATTGGATAAAACACCACTAACGACTAGTGCTGAGCCAACACCGTTTTGATATGTATCCCGCACCATTCAAAAACCAGTTTTAACACCCAGAAACCCTCCAAAATTAAAACCCAGGCCCCAGAATCCTGATTTATATTATATGCATTACAGGGGTTTATCAATATATATATATTAATTTATCCTTATTTATTTATTTAATATTTAATATGTTTAAAAACCTCAGTTTCGTCCTTTCGTCCTTTCATCCAGGATCCTTTCCTCGGATTTGTTCTATATCATTCAAGAACAATGCTCTATTAGGCGCCCAAATTTGATGGCAACAAGCATGGCAACCTCGAGGGCAAAAGCAATGGCAATGGCAATGGCGGTGGCAATCTGCAGGGCAACATGGATGGAAAAAACCGATGGGGGCAAAGGTAATGGCAACATCGCTGGTAAAAAACACTGGCAAATACGTGGCGGGGGTAAAAGCACGGGCGGCAAATTCAATGGCAAAATTTGGGTTGCGAGCAAAAGCCCTTGGCAACACACGCGGCAACGAAAGGGCAAACTGGCATTGCGGGCAAAAGCAATAGCAACACAGGTAGCAAAGCTATGGCAAAAATTGTGGCAAGGGCTAAAGACTGGACCCGTAAGTGGGAAAACAGATGGCACATTGCATGGCGGATACTGTATGCAGCCGTTGGCTTGCACAAGCGGCTTCTGAAATTGTGTCATGTGCAAAGCAAGTGAACATTTTCAATCAGATTGTTGTGGTGCCGAATGATCAAACTTAGTGCTCAGAAATTGTTGTGTTTACAGTTCACTTGGTCAGCGATTGCCTTTCGGTTGTGTTTTTGTCTAATGGTTTTCTGTGTCTAAGCCATGCTGTAACATTGTGGGGCACAGAAAAAAATGTTGAGCAAATTTTTGCCCAGGCAGCTGCCCACCTGCCCGTCAAGGTCGATTTTTGCCAAAATAAGCATTATTTTTGACAAAAATCCGCCCACACCGCTTTGGCGGTGAAGGCGTGCTTATTGGGGGGCAACAGCAACACTAAATGCTCAATGACATTTGTTAATATAGCAGTCGCTATATCAGCTTTAGCTGGGGGGGGGGCAAAAACGGTTTCGCACCGAGACCAGACCCCAAAAACGGTTTCGCACCGAGACCAGAATACGGTGGTGTTTTCGACATTTTTCGAGGATTTTTGGGTGTCTGAGCGCAAGAGGGTATTGAAATGGAATTTTGGGTCATTTTGGTAGCTTTCCGGCAATGGAAAAACGGCCAAAAATGAAAAAAAACATTGTACATAGCAAGATTTTGCAGGGTTTTTCGATGCCAGAGCATTGAAAACACTGCAAAAACAAGTGTTTTGGACTGACGTTATAGCAAAAAACGTGTAAATTACCGTATGCTTGACTGGAAACATTACAAAAAACACTGTCAAAAGCAATGTTTTGGAAGGATCTACTGCCTTTATGGCAAAAAACGTGTAAATTACCGTCTGTTTGACTGGAAACATTGGAAAAACACTGTCAAAAACAATGTTTTGGAAGGATTTCTTATATATATATATATATGTTGGAGTTGGCTACCGGCATTGGAACATGGAAAAAATGAAGAAAACACTGTAAATAGCGGTATTTTCAACGGTTGGGGAGATAAGGGAATTGGAAGCATTGTCGAACATGATGTTTTCGACCGGTTTTATGGCGACAAAAGTGTAAAGTACCGTGCTTTGAAGGAAACCATTGCAAAAACATGGAAAACACATTCAAAGAACACGGGATTTGGCGGACTATCTAGGCGTCGTTGTCTAGGTATTTGAAATTCCGCAGCTTGGAGAGCCTCCAAGGGAGGGAAAAGTGAAAATTCCATAGCTTGGGAAGCTGTCACGGCGGGGAACAGTGAAAATTCCCTAGCTTGGGAAGCCCCCACGGGGGGGAAAAGTGAAAATTCCCTAGCTTGGGGAGCCCCCATGGGGGGGAAAAGTGAAAATTCCCTAGCTTGGGGAGCCCCCACGGGGGGGGAAAAGTGAAAATTCCCTAGCTTGGGGAGCCCCCACGGGGGGGAAAAGTGAAAATTCCCTAGCTTGGGGAGCCCCCACGGGGGGGAAAAGTGAAAATTCCCTAGCTTGGGGAGCCCCCACGGGGGGGGAAAGTGAAAATTCTTAGCTTGGGGAGCCCCCACGGGGGAAAACCACCCTTAGCCCCTCTCACGGACCGAAATAAACCTGCGGTGTGGGCGGCCACCCCACGCGAAGCGGGGTGAATATGCCTTATTTTTTGATGGGCAATGATGGCAACCAAAAACTAGTGCGGATTGTCTTGAAAGGACAAGCGTGCGCTGGGCTAAAACTGCCTTTGTGCCACCATCAAAGGGATATAATTGAAAACAACATGCCAGCCTATCATATTTGCTTGGTTTCTTGTTTTATTCATAGGGTCGGTGGGCGTCGCCTCCGCTGAAGGTGCAATAGGGCTGGCATGATTTTTGTCAACATCTCTCTCTATAATTGATGTAGCACCAAATTTTGCCAGCACTTTTGCCATCAACTTAACACCCCATTTGCCGCCGAAAAGTCTCTCACACCCTTTCTGTCAACATGTGCCATGTACACTCAACGCCTTTTTGTGACTGAAGGTGTTTGCAACCTTTTCTGCCCAAAAACCTGCCATCAAATTTTGACGCCTCTGCTGCCGCCAAAATGTGATTGCTAAACTTCCGGTTCAATTTTTGCCATGCAAAGTTGTCACCCCCTTTGCCACCAAAATACGGTTACCACCATTTTTGCCATCACATTCTGCCATCAAACTTGCCACCAACTCTTCATTGCCACTGAAACTGCCACCCACATTGCCATATCTAACTGCCACCGCCACCGAACTTGCCACCTTAAACCGCCACGAGCCTCTGGCATAAGATAGAACCATATGA